CACAGATCTGACGGAGATTTGACAACACTATCATATGTTCACGAAGCATCCGGAAAGTATTTCAAAAGATTCGTTTAAAAAAAATGTCATCGCCAATATGGAAGATCCATCGACAGGAGTTTACAAACAGTTGAATATTTCGAAGAATATTTTTTGATGCAAAAGGGTGCAATGATATCGTAACATTTTCCAGCACTCGTGCATAAAATGGTTGGAAGGTTAAGCTTTCGAGAGCTAATTTTGGTGTTAACCTGATTAGAGACGAGTGATCGACTTGCACCGCTTCTGGATTAAACAGTTCGTGCCGTGCCTGGTGGAAGCATCGAAACGGACACGTCTGGGTGGCATGAATCACGAGAATGGTCCAAAAGAACGACATTGTCCGACAGCCGAGGCGAGAACGAGAAGGAGAGGACGCGCGGAGGTTCTCGTAGATCTCGTGGGAGGACATTAGCTGGTGGGACGCGTTTCAATCTGTCCTGGTTTGCGTCTTTGATCCGGGCGGCGTGCGGACTCGCAACCGTAACTCACTTGACGAGGCCGCTCGTAAACTCGCGGTGAGACTCGTGCCGAACCGGCAGCAGAAGGCGGCAGCCACGGACCGTTCCGGCGACTCGTCATCCGTTTCGTCAGTCGTTTAACACCGCCGTTCGCCGTGTCGAATAAAAATACGCAGATGACAGACCACACATTGAGCGGCAACGTTCTCTGACCGGCCAATTAGCCGCTACGGCCTCGCGAAAACTCCCGTTTAAACAGTTATTCGCGTTTTGCGCGACAACACCTTCGTGCCCACCGCCCACGCCGCTTCCGCTGACACTCTGCGGCGGCCATCGTTCCGCGTCTTTTTTTTTTGCCCTGCGTGCAATTCGAGTGCCATCTTCTTCAGCAGAGGAATGCAGTTGCCGCGATGGAAAAGTCACCACGCTTTTCCAACCCGATTCCGGCCGTTGAACTCGGTTCAGCGTCGAACATTAACAGCTCGAAAGGCGAAAACGATTAATGTTTGGGCCGGACGTCTAGTAGAATTTAAAGACCTGAACGTAATTACTCTTAAAACACGCGCATACATATTTAAATACATTATTAATATCAATTTTTTTCATAATTGGTCACTTGGTCACTTGCGTTTGTGTCCTTTCCGGCACGCACTGTTTTCTTTATTTTGGGACGATCTGAATCTACATGGTGCATTTCTCACTGATGTTCCAACATAGAAAGGTTGCTCGATCTTCAACTTATTGCACACAAACAACAGTTTCATTGTTCATGCTTGACACGCAGTGATAATTATTAATGTTTACGTGTAGAGTAGGGCAATAGTAATTGATAAAATTGTTATCCCGTAATTAAATTCTGTTCAGAGCCTATAAAATTCACTGAGAAGTTTCGTCCTAAGTTTTTAGCCAGTAAGCTGTAGCAACGACCCACTACTTTTTATAGCAACTTGCATAAAAAATCGGCGAAAACAATTAATGTTTGGGCCGGACGTCTAGTAGAATTTAAAGGCCTGAACGTAATTACTCTTAAAACACGCATTATATTTAAATACATTATTAATATCAATTTTTTTCATAATTGGTCACTTGGTCACTTGCGTTTGTGTCCTTTCCGGCACGCACTGTTTTCTTTATCGTGTTCTTTATTTTGGGACGATCTGAATCTACATGGTGCATTTCTCACTGATGTTCCAACATAGAAAGATTGCTCGATCTTCAACTTATTGCACACGAACAACAGTTTCATTGTTCATGCTTGATACGCAGTGATAATTATTAATGTCTACGTGTAGAGTAGGGCAATAGTAATTGATAAAATTGTTATCCCGTGTAATTAAATTCTGTTCAGAGCCTATAAAATTCACTGAGAATTTTCGTCCTAAGTTTTTAGCCAGTAAGCTGTAGCAACGACCCGCTACTTTTTATAGCGACTTGCACCAGAAAAAGAAATCGGCAAAATCTGAACAAACATGAATCCGTGAAAAATGGAAGAAGACAGAAATCACCAAACATACGTAAACAAATAAACATAAACAAAAGACACGTGAAACTCGTTGTAATAAACAGTGAGTGAGATCACGCGACGCCATAGCTGCGTTTACCATCGCTGAGAAGTCTACACGACGGCACAGTAGCGCCGAGAAGGAAAGGAAGAAACGAAGAAGATAAAAAGAAGAAAACCACCGTGAAACGCACAGCCGAAGCACAACGAGCAGCTTCTTTCTTTTTTCTCTCTCGCCCTCGAGAGCGAGGAGAATCGCTTTAACGAGCGAAAGTAATTTTTAAGCATGCCGCGTTAAGTGAAACACCCGGTTAAGTAAAGCTATCGACGTAGAGAATCTCCCGCGTAAATAGTTGGCAAAACGTACGACGTTTATTATTAATTTGTTCGCGATCATCCGGTTTTATCGGGTGTCGGAAGTTAATCGTCCGGCCGATCGAAAGGAACTGCCCTGACGATAATTGCCAGCCGGTGAAACTTGCGTTCGATTTGCGCTCGTTCGTTGTTCGATCGATCGATCGGGAAAGAGGAATAATACAGGCAGCGAACGAGCTCGCCTTGTTCGCCTATCCGAGCGGATTTCGCGGGAGTTGTCCACGGGGGGTTGTTCTATTTTAGCGAACGGCCGATCGAGCGCTTCCTAACTTTGCGCGGTTGTTTCGAAGATGGGACAAATGGCGGCTGTCGGCAACGTGAAAAGAACTCATCGCGATCTAATGAATTTCCGATCTGCGATTGAAATGATTCTTCAATTTGTATGCTGAAGCAGTTCCTAACTTTATGAGAAACTTTATCGGTAATATTGTCGATCACTGGATATCATAAAAAAGTAAGAATATTTAGTCGAGTGACTGAACAATTAAAGATAACGTGCGCCTAGAGAGCTAACTTTTGCTGTGAAATTTGCTTTATATCCACGCTCTGTTGTTTTGTAAGCCACTTTGCGTTAATCCATGACAATTTTCTGTGATATACAGGTATCGAATTACGTTCATAGTATAGATAATAGTTTCGACTTGAGAAGTAAAGCTCGTTAAATTTCCAAAGTCTGAAATTTCCATTTCTTTAAAATTCCAGATTGACAAATATCAATTTACTGTGACGCAGTTACGATGCTTTGTGTCTGACACAACGTGGCGAGTTGCAGCAACAAAAATCAGCTCGTCTAAAAAAAAAAAAAAGATCGCAAGAATAAAGAATAATTGCAAGACAAGGGATTAAACGTCCCTTTTCTTCTTAAAAGTTTCCACCTTTATTGATTCCGTACTACGAAATCTTGATTTCGGGCCAGCGTGCGGTCCCTCGGGGATCGAACGCGTTTACACGCGCCCGCTTTAGACGATGGCGTCGCTGTCCAATTTCGGAAATTGCAACCGGCAAGAGACAAATTGAAAACCGATGGCGGGAGTGAGGTATCCGCGTGAGAGCGGACAGCAGCGTCCATCGTCGTCGTCGTCGTTTTACCTTGGCCGGAAAGATTGTAATTTCACGAACCGCTGCTACTTGGTCGGGATAATAACGTTAAACTAAAGTAACCTCCGTCGTAAGTGGATAATTATCCTTTAACAGCCGCTATCGCGGCGTCGTTATTGTCTCGGCCGGGGAAGGGGAAATACGCGGCCGCCGCCGCGGCGTTGCTTTAACGAATGATGAGCCAGGGAAGAAGAGGGAAAAAAAAGAAAAAAAAAAAAAAGAAAGAGATTAGGATGGTCTAGTCTGTCTAGGCGTCGTACAAAATACGGAATAAACGATCCTTGAATATCGATTAATTATACGAGCGCGTAGAGAATTACGATTTGCTATCGCTTTCGGATTGGATCGATGTCTGTTTATGCAGCCCCCAGCCACTCGAGTCGGCACCGCTCGTAATTTTCAATGTTTCAGTAAAATCGAACGGCTCGCGATTTAATAATCAATTTTATAATTTACAGTAATCAATTTTATTAACTGTTAAAAGTTAATAAATCGATACAGTGTACGTAGTATCGTATACTACGTATATTAATACTTCAGTCGTTTAAGCTATTCAATATTTATTTTTACTAGAAACCAGTAGGATTAAAAAAAATGCAAAGTAGTCTTAATTCAGCAGTCAGAAGCTGTGACTAGACTATGGGATAGACTTTATACAATTGTTTTTGTCACTAAATAGATACACTCTATTAAATATTATCTCCTTTATGTCAGTAGCATGAACGTACGATTCGGTCAATTAAGAATTGAAGAATGTAAGAATTCACGATTAAATCTGAAAACAGCAAAGCGACGCACATTCGCGAATCGAGCAAACGATGTAACATCGTTTGCTGCGCAACATGTACAGATGATTGTTATTTTGTTACAAAGCAGAGAAAAATCAAAGCTCTAAAAAAAGAAAAAAAAAAGAAAAAAAAAAGATAATTTGTGCTTCCGACACAAAGGAGACGATATTGTAACAGCTTTCGATACGTGCATTCTGATACCACCAAATTCTTTATAAATGCATGAAAGCACGCGGTTTGGCCGACCGATCGAGTGATTCGCGTGATTGTGTTTACGCAACTTGCGAAACCGACAATCGAGACGGCTGTTAATTATCGGGGGAAACGAGTATCATTGTGTCGCGGGACGCGGTTTTCGCAAGACGTTAGCCTACGAATTACTACTCGGTATAACGGCAATTTTCTTTTTCGTGCCAGTTTTAACCGCAGAGCGTGCTCGTGGCTGTTTGTTGCGGCTGAGAATCTTCCGATACACAGATGTACGAGAATTATCTTTCGTTTTCTCGGCAACTATCACGCGCGCGCGATATTTCGACACGATGATTAATTAATCGCGACAAAAATCGAGTTACAAATTCTCATCCGTCATCGGTGAACGACTCGAGTCGGTTTCCGGCTTCGTTCTTCTTCCATTTCTTTCTCTTTTTTTTTTTTTTTTTTTTTTGCTCCAACCCGTAACGAGCTTTAAACGCACGCTCTAATTATCGTTCGCGTGTTTTTCCTTTTCTTTCATTTCAGAAAGGGAACCGAGCGTCTCTGGCGTGGTCCGTTCCGGTGCACCACCGATTCAGGAAACGATCGTCGCGGAAGACGATCCGGAGACGGACGACGCCGGAAGCACCAGCGGCAAGGCAGCATCTCCCGTGAATCCTCTTCTTCAGGAACGGACCAACTGCGAAGAGCTCAAGCACGTGATGTGTCATCTAGAGACGAAGGACTTGTGGGATAAATTCAACGAACTGGGCACCGAGATGATTATCACGAAAACTGGCAGGTAAGATCCTCGCAATCATGCGAATGTTACGTCGATGATTTGAAAAGAGAGTAAAGGAAGAGAGGGATCGAAACATTTGCAAGTAAACTCTTGTTCGACTTCGCTTATTAAACCACCGATGTCTGTCTGTGACAGAAAAGAGACAATTAGTTAAGAATCCGAGGGAATCTATCTATCGTAATTTAATTTAATTCAATTTGATGCAACGCAACAGCTGAAACAAACGCACAACTTGGCGACAATTGTGAAACGCGTATATAAATAAATAACTTGAAAGTGTTGAACGAGAGACGTGCAACAATGAAGAAAGCAGTGACAGTCGCGCGTGCAACCGTGGTTGATTAAATCGTCCCTAAATCGTATTTTTCCTCGCGTACGTCGGCGCGGAGAAGAAAGTCGAAGGAAAATCACGAACGAGGAAAACAGCCCGGAAACGGTCGGGGCAGCGACGTAGTTTTCGAGACAACGTTATCGCGAGGGTGCGCGGAGAGGAGAGTTGGGAAAGGGAGGCGAACACGAACACGAACACGAACACGAAGAAAGGACGAGAGCGACGCGACGCGGCGGACGCGCACCTAATTGCCCGCCACGACGGCAACATCCGTGCTGCTCCTGCTCGATGTTCGCCGATTCCCAAAGGGGCTCCACTACCCTACTGCGCGTTTACCCGCGCGTTAGTAATTAGATCTGCGCCGCGACGTTGCTCGTCGCACCCTTCACCCTCGTCAACTTATCGTCCCCCGCCGGGCTCCGACCTTACACCGCTCCACGCCACCCTCCGCCGCCTTTGCCACCGCCTCTCTGCCCCTTACTCTGCCTCCGCCTCCGTCTTCGCCGATGCTGCTTCCGCCTCCGGCCTCCGCCCCATACCGCATCCCCCGCAAGGGTTCCTACCCTCACTTTCTCTCTCTCTCTCTCTCTCTCTCTCTCTCTCTTGTTTCCCGTTATTTGCAGAAGAGGCTCAACTTCCCCTTCCTTCCTCGCCCTCTCCGTTTCTTTCCTTCACCTCGTCCTCGCCTCCCATCCAGAAAATTCTCCCTTCTCGCGCGCGCTCAACTCTCCCCTGTCCTCGAGGAACCGGTGGCGTGCGGCAGGTCGTGTTGCGCTCGCCAAGTGGGCGTGAACGTTCCCTCGAAGGAGGGAATTTGCCAAGCTTTTCGTAAAGCTTCTAACGACGACGTCCGTCCGTCGACGAAAGAATCGTCGTTCGCATGGTTTCGATCGGGGCGAAGAGGGGGGGGGGGCAGAAAGGGTGAAAGGGTTTAGAGGGGGGGGGGGAGAGGCGATGGAAAAACCGAAGGTGTCTCAGGATGAGAGGAAGCCCCCGAACGGGGGTTAGACACGTTGAATCCGTGTGCACGGATTGAGGGAGCGGAGGAGGGGGAGAAGAGGGTTGTAGTAAGAGGCAGAAGGTGGAATCGAAGAGGCTAGCTTCTCCCGCGAGGCGAGTTCAATTCATTAACAAAGGACGGGTTGATAAATAAAAGCATTACTCACGCTCGTGGCGCTGGCGGGATGAATGCATACCGAGTCGACAAGGACCGAGGAGAAGACGTAGATAAGATCGGCGGGTGTCCCCGCGTTTTAGTGGTCGAGCAGCGGGGGGCCCGACACGGTATTAATGTTTGGCCTCCGAGGCAAAACATTCACGCCGAGGCTTCATCCTCTGCCCCCTCTGATTCTGAACGCCTCCCGCCACCCCCTCCCCCTCTCTGCCTGCTGGTTCTTTTGGTACCCGCGAACCTGCCACCACCTCACGGTGTCCGCTTCGATGTTGGCGCGTTAACGTCCTGAAATCGGCGTGGACGGTTTTCGACCACCGATCATCCTTTTTCTCCCCTCCTCCTCCTCCTCCTCCTCCTCCTCTATCTCTCTCTTTTTCAGTTGAGTTGTTTCTTTCGCAGGAGAATGTTCCCAACGTGCAGAGTGTCGTTCAACGGGCTGAAGGCGGACAGCCGATACGCGGTACTGATGGACATCGTTCCGGTGGATAACAAGAGGTATCGGTACGCGTATCACAGGAGCTCGTGGCTGGTAGCCGGTAAGGCCGATCCACCGGCGCCCGCTCGCCTCTACGTGCACCCGGACTCACCTTTCACGGGCGAGCAGCTTCGAAAGCAGGTCGTCTCGTTCGAAAAAGTCAAGCTGACCAACAACGACATGGACAGGCACGGGCACGTGAGTAGCACTTTACGAGCAGACCACGAATTTCCCTCGTAATTCGATCAATCGGTGCTTGTTGTTTCCAGTTGCGATTCGTCTCGTTCGATTCTCGCGCGCGAACGCGTTTTGTGTTTTTTAACGACGCGTGCTGAACAACCGCGTCGCCTCGATCGAATTGGTCGGCTGGCGTGGCAACGGTCGCGACATTCTGGTATTCGAATTTCTCTCTCCGTCGATGACGAGGGGCAACAGCTACGACTCCTTAATTCATCGGATGACTGACGTAAATAGAAACCCCGATCGTGGCCACGGTTTCTTCACGGTACTCATTTTGTATTCGGGATGTTACACGGTTGCCCGGGCGAAGGCAAAGTGATTCTTTTGAATGGTCGTCCGAGGAACGTCCCGAGGAGCGGCAAAGTGCTCCTAATTCATAACGCTTTTTCTTCTCCCGACGAAATCCTCTCCGTATCGTCGTCCGTATCTATCGTTTCCCCGAGGCGATAGAACGAGTCAAAGGCGGACGGAGATCGGAGCGGCGAGAATCGGCTCACCTCTTGGAACCGACGTAAAGACCAGAGGAGAGAGGGTGAGGATCACGCAGCGGTAGCAGACTCTCGCGTCCGATATAAACGCGGACGCGATCGCGCTCGTTGCTTTTCGTTTATTATACAAACGAAAAGCACGTTGGAAATGTAGACGCATGATAAGACGCATGTGTGGAAACGTGTTCTATACGTTTCGCGTGAGTGTGACAGGGCTCTTTGATCTAGACATTTATTATATCCCTCCCTCCGATCCGAAGATCCGCAACAGGGCAGTTAGATCCGACGATAACCATCCCGACGTCGGAACGTTCGATTCACTGGTTATCTCTCGCGCGCGTAACTACAGTTGCGTCAGCTCTACACTCGCGATAAATAACACCCTCGTTTCTGCTGTGTTTTTTTTTTTTTTTTTTTTTAAACTAACCAAACGAATCGCGCGAAAGAATTCATTTCAACCAAACGCGAACCTTCTGACGGATTTATTCGTAACGATGATTCCAGCTGGTGTTGAACTCGATGCACAAATACCAGCCGAGGATTCACCTGGTGAAGCGGCCGGAGTCGGGCACCGCCAAGCCAATAACGGACCTCGAGAAGGAACCTCACAAGACCTTCATATTCCCAGAGGCGATATTCACCGCTGTCACCGCCTATCAGAATCAACTCGTAAGTCTCGCTTTGTTTCTCGCTACCGCTACATTCCTTTCGTCCTCCATCCTCCATCCTCCTCCACCTCCTCCGCCTCCTCTTCCCTCCTTTCATCCTTCCCTCGGCCCCTTTTCACTTCTTCTTTTTCTCACGCGATCCTCGAGCCGAGTCGGCCGAGATCTGCCCCTCGTCGTGACGCAATGCGTCTCTCCCACGTGCCCCCGGGACTGGTTCTCCCCCCTCCCCCTCCCTCTTCTTCGCATCGGATAATCGTTTCCTCTCCAACGCCGATTGAAACGTACAAATTGTCTCCCTCTCGATCCGATTCGACCGCCACCGCGAATCTTTCACTTCCCTCGACGCGACGTTTAAATTACCAGCGGACTTCAGCGTTTCTCGCGGAGCAGACGGTGGTTTCCCGCTCGGAATCTCCGCCGGCGAACGCGCGATGCAATGCGAGAACGAAGAGAAGTGGTTGGCGGCATAGTAGATAGGCGGCCGTAGATTTAACCTCGCGACGATTCTTCTTGCGCGCGTCCGACCACGGAGATTCCTCCTCCATGGGTTCGGAGCGCGAGAAAAGGGCGAGTGAGCGCAATCGTATTTTACGATAGTCGTTTAGCAGCGACCGCCTGGTGTGTGGTCCCGGTCGTTCGCGGTCGTTCGCATTCCACCGGCGTCGCGATGCCCGATTTCTCCATGCGGGGATCGCGGTTTTCGAACGTGTACTAAAATACGCGCGTGGCACGTGAAACGTGCGTCGAGGAATTAAGGATCCGTGTTCTTAGTAGTATGCCCAGTGTAGAGCGCGGCTACGCGAACCGTGTTCAATCGAGGAATCGGGGGCTGACTCGAGTGACATTGTGCATTCCGCGGCTCTCTATAAACGTCGACGAGGCATGTTCCTGTTTCAAACATTGCGTTCTACGTTTCACAATTTTCACGGTAGCATGATTGGGGAAAAGGAGTTCCAATCGAATTGCAAATTTTCGTTTCTTCAAATCGAAGATCAACTCTGTGACAATACTTTTTCCATATCCGAGCTTGCGATAATAACCAAGAAGATCGAGGAAAGACCATTGACGCGCACGTCGAGAACTTTTTTGTCCCAAATTGCAACATTTACTCAGTTTCAAGACTGTTATACTTAAACGTGATACCCAGGCAAGACAAATAACAAGTTTTATTACATCTTAATGATTTCTATCCAGTGATGTCATACCGACCGTGTTCGAAAGAAAGAGGAAGCGAACGAATTCTTGTATACGGTGCTCGGTCACTCGTTACGGTCCGCGAACCGGGTGTCAAAGCAAGGGATTGAACTGCTGCTTCGGTTCTTTTCTCCGACGACGCACGATCGAGGGTGAACGACTGCCTCCTTTTCGGGACGATGACGAGAGAAGCGAGGACCGCGTCGCGGGCCGAAAACGCTGTGATAACGACCAGAGACGAGGACAAAGAACGTTCCGAGATACGAAAAAAAGGGAGGACGAAGAAGAAACGTTGGCGCGCGAGGCCGAGAACAGTGGGAACGGACGTTGTCGGCGGTTGAACGGCGGTTGGATGGGGAGGAAAGGAGAGAGTGTCGGGTCGAGGTAATTGCCGAGGCATCTCTTCGCACCTCATCATCGTCATCAACGGCTCCGACGTTCTCTCGTGGTTGTCGCGTACGACGAGGGTGGGTCGTCGAACGCGGACCACCCGTTAGCGCTTTGAACCAACTCTCTGCAGCTTTCGTCGATCTTCGAGTTTTCTTCCTTTGTTAAAGAGGAAGAATCACTCGAATCATCGGAAATCGCTAAACGAGCTTTCGCTTCTCTCCTCCTAGTTACAGTTTTGCGTCTTGTTCAACAGCTACGGCAACAACGACGATGACGACGACGATTCTGGCTGAGTTTCGCGCGAACCGAGGATCCCGATCGCGTGGTTCGATCGAGGGAAATGTAAAAAGAAGAGAAAAGAGACGTGCGTTGAAAATAGAGATGTCTGTCTCACGTGTGCAACTCTCAGTCTTGATTTTTGATCCACTGGTATCTCCGTTCTGTGAATAATTTATTTCTACTACGCGTGTATTTAAATCCCGGGTCAAGTGCCACATTTGTTTCAAAACTGGAAATATCGAATGACGTTTTGTGCAAAGAAGAAAATCCATAAAGTATCACTAACAGAAAAACAGCGTCATACTTTGCCCGATCGAGGAATCTTTGCATTAAAGATCGTTTATCTGTAACATTCGGGTGCTCTTTGAACTGACAGAAGAAAACCAACGAAACAGAAGAACAACAGAAACTTGTGTGATGTTCCATTATAATCAGGCGAAATGCGCGACCCAAACTAAACAATAAGCTAAACTAGCGCGTAAAGATCAAAATTCTATTGTCTAAAGTTCTATTAGATATTTTTCAACAAATGCTAACATTCCAAATTCGCGTAAGAAGGCTTACAATCAACCAGTTCGCGTCGAAATTCATTGGTCACAGTTCGTGGTTTTCCGATCGGTCGTCGTTATCGCTCTCTCTCGACGATTGTCTGTCGTCGTTGTTCCGTCTGGCCTCTCGCGCTCGTCATCGTCTCTCGAGAGGGTGTAGGCTCGTTTAGCAGGGACCAGCTTCTTTTTTTCCTTCCCCGTTGCCAGCCACTTCCCGTGTACCAACTACTACGTATCGTTGCGGACGGTTTTTGTCTTCCTCTTGTCCCACTCTCTCTCTCTCTCTCTCTCTCTCTCTCGTAACGACCTCTAACACCAACTCGATTCGTCTTTCTCGCTCGCACGCGTCATAATTCATAACCTAACTGCCGTTCTTCTTCCCTCTGGCCACGCTCTCGCCGTTGGTATTCCTCTCCATCCGTTCTGCCGGCTCCTTATCGCCAGCTGATGTCTCCTCGCCCTCTCTCCTTTCGCTCCGTCTTCGTTTTCGCTCCGGACTCTCTCCCACGCCCTGTTCCGCTTCTCCTAATCGTCCCGCTCGCGGTCGCCGTGAACGGGCCGTCGTTATCCAAAGTCGACATTTACGCCTCTGGAATGGACATAAGTTGGTACTTGTACTTTTAGGCTACCTATTTCAGGTACACACACACACACACACACGCACACATACACAAGTGTACACATAATCTCAACCGGTGCAATTTTTGATACGTTTGTTTCTGCTTCTGCACACACGTGTTCACGTGTATTTAAATACACGCGCGCAATCGTCAAAGTGCGTGAAGTTTCTCGTCCCGATCTCGTTTAAAACGCCGTTTCTTACGATACTCGGGAGCGTCAAACGCATTTGCATATCGATATAATGATTCCATCTGTCATTGCGTATAGAGAAATATGGAAATATGCCTCTGTCAGGTCGACAAAATCTCTGTCATGGTCGAAATCGTTCATCCCCTGATCGTAATATTGAACTACTGAACTAAAGAACAAGCACGATGGACCCTTTACAACACGTATGAATATATAATTTTTGTATTTTGCCAATACATCATTGGAAAACTACCGAATCGATTGTTAATTGTGAGATTTTCAATTGGAGTAATTGATTACAATTACTTGGAGCTTCGTCTCTGGTTTACGTTAAAAATCGTCCATCTATAATATTTGGAAATTTCTTCAACTAAGAGACTATATACTAGAGACTATATTAACTAAGAAAGGATGTCTAACAAAGACGTGTACATGTGTAATAAAAACTCTCTTAATAGAAAGATTCTTCTTAAGTAAATTAAATAAAAAGATACTCAATTCTTTAAAGTACACGTATTCAAAATTGCACATCTCTAGAACAACGTAGGCCATGTTTCACGCTCGTTTTGAAAATCTTTCGGATCGTTCAGGTCGTTCGAATTATCGGCTTCTCTCCAAGTTCTCCAATTTCGTTCGCTACAGAGACGAGATAACGCTTGTCAGCTCGAGAGATAATAAGTTTCTTTTAGAGCGTAACAAACCTCTGTCTTTCTCCGTCGCAACGTAACGAATCCAACACGTAATATGTACCAAAGTTTTCGATCGCATCGAGTTTTCTCCATTGACGATAACGACGATGATTCTTCTCTCATCCCATTTGTGTCACGATCATACATTGGAACACGTTACGATGGAACGTTTACGGTTTCCACGAAAAGTTTTAGTTAGTCTTCGCATCACCGATTTTTCTTAATTCATTGCACGGAAATACGTGCCGCGGATTATTAAATTATCGTCCAAGTATTATTGCCAATAACAGGAGATGTGGTGATTACAAGAAATAACAAGTTCACAAGACTGGGTTTACCGATAGAAAATTTTCCGCGTTTTCCCAATGAAATTATTACGAATGCTTCGTAACCGCGATTGAAGCAATGAAAAATTTGAACGAATCTTAAATCCACGCGTGGCGAACGATCCCAAAGTTCGATGAGATGATCGAGAAAAGCGTCGTATCGCCGGAAAGTGTGTTTCAACCTCTTGCGCTTAGTAACTGGTTGCGCGGACCATAACGAGTGACCAATAAACTAGTCGTACAATAACTCGTCGTCTTTTTGAACTCGTCGGTTTGAATATATCGCTGGATAGAAGTTACTAAGAAGAAGTTAATAAATTTGTTATTTGTTTCGCCTGGGTTTATATATTTCAATATACTTGAAACCGAGAAACGGTGGCACGTCATTCCAGTGCAAGAGGTTAAGTGTAAACGCGCCGTCTCGGCAATAATTGCCGAGTAATGGTAGTCGCGATCACAGTGATCGCGGTGGAAAATTTTCCGATAAATGCTCACGCACCTTCGCACGTTGGCTAATCAATCATGCTCGACGTTGAAACGGCGGTCAACTGTCTGCCAAGTACGTTTCCGGGAGAGAAATCGCGAAAGAAGCGACGACGAAACGAAAACGGGTGGATGAAGAGTGGAGAGAGGCAAGGGGCGAGCCGCAAGGACGCGTTAACGTGAAAAAAAAAAGAAGGACACGGAACGAGCGTGGCGCGGAAGAAGGTGGAGCGGGCGCGGAAGCAGAAGCACAGAAGAAGCGGCGAAGAGATGGCGGGACATGAGGAGGAGATGAAAGAGAAGAAAGAGAAAGAAGAGGAGGAGGAAGAAGAAGAAGAAGAAGAAGAAGCAGTCGATGGTTTTAGTGGCTGCAGGCGTCGGCTTCGGCGAGCACGAACGAAAGAAAACATAAATAATCGCGTTCAAATGAGACAGCGGCGGGAGGAGGGGAAGAGGAGGAGGTGGCCCCTCTGGAAACCACACACGGCGGCTGTGCGCGTTGGCGGCTGGCCGGTTGGCACACACGCCAGTGTGGTACTTACTTACTTACGGCCACCGGGGGACACACACGGCCACGCTTCGATGTCGAACGCCAGCTCTGCTTCGTTCGCGAGAGCTTTGTTGTTCGCGGCGACGCGGATTCACGGAGGATCGAACGAAGACGCGATGTCTCTGCGCGAAGGCAGACAGAGAAAAGGGGAGGGGTGGAGGGAAAAGAATCGTGTCAGGGAGTGAAAAAGAGGCAAAGAGAGGAGAGAAAAGTTTCGGGAGCGTGACAGCGTGCAACCGGCAGTAAATAGCGGCGGTGATGTGCGCCGAGCAGCTTCCAAGCGAGAGAGCGAGCGCGGGACCCCTTCTTCGATGAGCGCGTCTCTATTAAATCTATTATTAGTAGCAGACCGGGTGCGAAAGCATCCCTTTCAATTACCTACGGCTTCATTTCGCGGAGCGTCTGCGGAGGGAGCGTGCACCAGGCAGAATCGGGACACGCGGCAGGGGAATACTCGGGCATTCTCTCCGTTTCTCTCTCGTTTTCGATCTCGAGTTAGACTCGCGAGCGAATTATTTCATCGTTGCTAGAGCTAGTTTAATCCACAAGCTTCGAAAGCTTGACCTTCGTACTGTTCTTTTTCTTTTTTTCTCTCTCTTTTTTCGCAGAAGTGATGGAGTATGAGGCACAACTTTGCAATGTTGGTAATTTTACAAAGTGGGATGCTCGAGTAGTTTCTCGAACCTTGGATTCGTACTACTTTCGTCTCGATTGGCTCGATTTCGTTTTATTAGAAATTTGCCGGAAAATGCTCCACGTTGTCACTGGACATTTTCATTATTGAAGAAAAGAGAACCTAAATAAAAACTTGTTTGTTCTATGTATTAGCACGACTGATGAATATTTTTGGATGTTTCATATATTTTTGCACGTCACGTGTATTTCTATATCTTCATGTTTTCCATAAATGCATAAAAATTCGCAGTGTATTAATTATCACGTGTAGGAACGAAAGAAAACATAATAAGATGGGTTACGTGACACGTACACATCTAGCGTTTATACAACGCTAGAACAGGGGAAAATAATTAAATACTCTATAAAAAATAAAACGACACGAGCTGGCCGAAACCTAGCTGATTAAACCCTAAAATCATTACATTAATAAATGAAGACCGACAAACGCCGATACATAATCGTTCAATGCCAACCAAAAAATATCACCGTATCATGGATAGTAGTTGTTGAATCACCCTCGCAGTTTGATGAGTGACACTTGGCGTATTTTAAACGAACCGAAACGAATAATCTGTTTATTACGTGATTCGATCGTTCGTAACGCTAATCACTCGAATTTCTTTCGCGACAGCAACGGTTTGTAAATGAAAACGGTCGGAATTCCCCCGAGTCCGAAGAACACCGATCGGTCCCAACACACACACACATACACGCGCATACATAAAGAAACGCAACCCCACCCACGGCGTTCGCAAATTCTCTCTCAATTTTCATCGGCGCTCCGCAGCTGGACGTAATTGGCTACCTGTCGTTCGAACAGGCGAACGTTCGATCCGTCCTTAGGCCACTCGAATCCGATCCCGAGTCGCGATCTTTTGTCCGCTCCTTCTCGCTGAAAATTACTCGCTTTCATCTCTCGGCCGAGAGTTCGAGATCGCACGTCGAGAGTCTCGTAGCATCGCGTGATCGCCGCGCGTGCATTTCGCCTCGCGGATCCGCGAGTTTCGGCCCGGCCATTGAATCCGAGGTGCAGTTCCGACGAAACGCGGGGAGGGCAACGACCTTTGTTGTTCGCGCGTCGACCGGTACCGGCGACAAAAATCTCCGCGCGCTTTTTTTTTTTTTTTGTTTTCTCGCAATTCCCGTCCGATACGCGTACACGTACGCGTCGAGTAAAATATCTGGCGGGAGGCTGCGCCGTTGGCTGGCTACGATTTATACGTTCCGACGATGGTTTGGCATCGAGAGAGCGAGAGAACGAAAGGATATATCACACGGCGCGTCCACCGTGCACGCTGTAAATCGGTCTGGGAAGTGGTCCAATCGTTTGGTCGGACCGTGTCAGCGAAATCGTATAACTTGATCGCCCGTTCTAGATGGGCTAGATGGGCGTATACAATCGGCCACGGGGATTTCTTTTCTTTTCTTTTCTTTTTTTTTTTTTTTTTTTTTTCACCGGGATGAAGCGTGAAATCGTCGGGTTTTGCCGTTTCTTGGAAACGTCCGTGGGTGAATTTTGGAACGTTTGAATGTTGGAACGATACGTTATACGTAGAGCTTCGTTCATAAAATTTTTGTCAACAGATCGAATGATTCTCGTTTGGATCTGAACGTCTGAACGTCACGCGAACGAAAAATCACTGACAGAGAGGAGAATCGGTACCATCTCATCAAACTCGAGGATGAAACATCTACCTATCCTCCAATCTGTGTAGATCAAGTAATTATTTTATTTGAACAAAGTTGCGCGAGATTTCTCGAAAATATTTCCGTGTGTCGGTAGAAAGAAAAAAAGAAAAAAAAGAAAAAGAAAACGTTGCAAAGATGAAACGTGTCGTCCAACACGCGTCGTTCAATCTACTGTAAAAGGAGGAAGAAACGCGTAGCCGGTCCGCGCGTCGAGTTGCTAAATTAATCGGTGCTCGTCGCGAGGCGATGGACGCGTGGCCGAGGATCGAGGCGATCGCGGATCGAGCAAAACGAGCTGCACGATATCAAAGCGAGAAGCGGCGAGTTCGCAAAGTAGCGGACGCGAGTCGATTTCAAAGAGAGGCGTATACTGGCGAGTCGAGAGGGAACTACAGCTAGGCCGGTTGATCGTAAAACAGTGAGAGCCGAGAGGGGAAAAAGTCGCGAGGAGGAGTGTGAAGCGGAACGACAACGACAACGACGACGACGACGCGTCGAGGTCCAAGTAGCTAGACGACGAGGACGACGCTGACGGCGGAGGTGGGCCAGATGTTTGGCTAATGATGTCAGCGGAATCGTAACTAAAACCGAGGCAGCTCCGGGCTTAGCGCGGCTTAGCCTCGGCTTTGAACGAAAGAGTCTTATTACCAGGCTGCACGTGCTGCTCCTGAGCGCGAAACCGTAGGGTAATTGGACCACCCACTCGACACCGACTCTCTTTTTCCTCTCTTCCTCTCTCTCTCTCTCTCTCTCGTACACACACCCGCACATACGCGCCGGCGAGCTTTCTCCCTCTTTTTCCTGCATCCCTTCGTCGTCTCTCTTTTCCAACCTTTCCATCTTGCGCCGCCTCCCTTCTCGAGGAACCGCTAGTTTCTTTTTCGCCAGAAACGAAAATTTACGATTGCGAATGATTGTAAAAATTATACAATAACCATTTGCGGTTGCACGTCTGCGACCGAAGCAGAAAATAATTTTGATCGCAAGTCGGAGGTACCTTGGGATCCTTAACGAGGGTATACAAGTTTCATTTCGACCGCAACTCGAAATTTCTCACTTCGCGGAACATCGCGAACGATTATCAAACCTAGGTGAAGTGACATACGAAAGAAGATATCAAACGATTATTTCGAAAAATTAGAATTTTCCATTTTCCATTTTGAAAGATATTACGTATTAATGTGCCACGACGCAGCGTAAAGTACAAAATCAGAGACGTAAGAAATAATAATTAATTCCGAGCGGCGCGATACTTGTACAAAAACTAAATACCACCGCGGAGGATTATCAACGCCGTTTAAATTCATTTCCAGCTGAAAGAAAAGAAAAAAAAAAAATAGAAAAAAGTCACTTTCGTCGATTCGGTGCTACGAAATCTCGATTTGGGACCATTGCGCGACCACTGTCAGAGGAAGAAAACGTCTTCCAACCGTCGTCGAGGGTTTACGGAAGCGTGCGACGGGAAGGATCTCGTCACCGCGAGCTAATTCGACGCGTAGACTTTGACCGATGCCACCTGCCCCCGACCGTGTCGCCGCGTCGTGGGTGGCCCGATGGCGACGGTAACGCGAAACGGCCCGACACCCTCGCGGAAACGAATTAGGGTAGATTTCGGCTGCGTATCGACGAACGAGAGAGAGAGAGAGAGAGAGAGAGAGAGAGAAAGAAAGGGAGAATTCTCTTCGATGAATTTCGACAGATCGCGATTCTCCGTTCTCTCTTTTCCCCCTGCCCCCTTCGCATTTCCATCGCAAGCGCAACACGCTAGACCGTTTTCCCGGCTTCTTCTAATTTTACGAGCCGTTGACTCTCGATCGATGGAACGAACCGTTTCGAAACGGGCCGACCACCATTTTCCGATACGCGTCGTTGCCCGACGGCGCGCGAAAGATGACGCAAACGTTCACCCAGCCGAGAGAGATCGTCTAACCGTCGCGCAGAATCATCGCCCATCGCCACCCAACGGCCTGACTTTTCTCGTTTCAGATCACGAAGCTCAAGATCGACAGCAACCCGTTCGCCAAGGGGTTCCGTGACTCGTCCCGTTTGACCGACTTCGAGAGGTAAATCTAACGAGCGTGTGTGTCGCGACGGGAGGCGACGAACGCGAAACCCAACGAGAGGGCGAATACGCGCGTAATCGAGCAGCTTCCCTTTCAGGGAAACGATGGAGTCGATGCTGGCCGAGCAGCAGTCGCTGAGGTTTCCCCATCGGCTACCGTTCGAGATGGATCAGCTTCAGGCCGGCGCAGCGGCCGTGGGCAACCTCAGCCTGGAAGAGAAGGCGCTGTGGGCGGCGCGGTCGCAGATGCTGCTTCGTGCTGCCGCAGCGGTCGCCGTCAGCCCGTACGCTCAGTTGGTCGGTCCGGCGGCGCTCGTGTATCCTGGCGCCTCGTCCGCTGCTGGTACCAGCCATCAACAGCAGCAGCAACACCAACAACAACAGCAGCAACAACAACAGCAACAACAACTCGGACACCTGTGGTGGGCGTCGTCGATAGGGCCGACATTGTTCGCTGCTGCCCACCATCAACAGCAACAGCAGCAGCAACAGCAACTGGCAGGATCGAGCACACAGAGCCCAAGCACCACTGGTCCAGCGGCGCCTCGACCTCTTTATCCGTCGGCCTTGGCCTTGGCGCATCATCGTTTCTCCCCCTATCACATGGCCACTGCGGCGCCCAAATCGTCCACACCGATTGGCCCTTCTCTTTCACCTTCGCCCTCGCGAAGGGCGACACCATCGCCGACCGACAGCCTCGGCAGAGACGGCCAGGATCTGTCGCCATCGTCGTAGTCGACGTCGTCGCGGTTCCTCTCGGCGCCGCTGTATCGCGCGCGAACGGCGCTTCCACGACCACGGGACCACTCGACTCAATCCCCGTCGCGTTTACTCGTTGGAGAACTCGCGTCAGAAGAACTCGATCGGAGGAGGAGGGAGGAGGAGGAGGAAGTAGAGGAGGAAGAGGAGGAGGTGGAGGGTGAAGACGATGCAACTGTATATACGGTACGGTCGTTGTTGGATCCCCTGGCCGCGCACGTACGTGCATTCTTGTAACACCGATCAATCGTATGACGACCTTTACTGTATATAGCTATACATATATTATATACGTACGAATTCACGAGACGCTAGGTAACACCGACATCGAGTTCGTGTAACATAAGTTGTATATTTCTTATCACGACTTATCGTTATCGTTATCGTTATTTATGTTTCAAAACTCCGTGCTCGAGCCACGCGTGGAGAAACGCGGAGCTGACGGGGACTGACACACCCGAGAGGAGAGAGACACCTTGCGCGCGTTCTCCGCGCGAGAAGGAGGAAAAAAAAAAAAAAATAGCTTAAGCGACGGATTGGTTCAGTCGCCGGTATCGGCGATTAGCGTTTTAGCATAGAGCGTTATATCGTTGATGCTTGTGTTGTGAAGATGCATAAGAAAATATCGCTGTGCAAGCTGCTCCCTTGTAAATAAACCCTAATAAACTCTTGTGTACCGAGCGTACAGCCCACCTATTCGTTTTCCGCTCCCATTCGCTCCGTCCTGGACCCGTCATCCGGTCTCTACCCTTTCGTTCGTCTTGCCGAACGAAAATTTAGTATATCGCTATGCTATCCACCGGCGGCGCGAAAACATTGAAAACGATCGGAGCGTGCATGATAATCGGGAAGAACCAAGACGAGAACGGAAGTTGAGATGACGCGCAGGTGATATCGTTCGATAGCGTGGCCACACCGCGTCTATCGATCCATCGCGTCGGCAATGACACGAGCGTACGGTGAAAACGCGAAAACTCTTGCTCGAACTCGCGCTGGAATTTCCAGATTTCGTCGAAGGAACATCATCATGTCGAGGTAGACACGCACGGAGGAGAATCCAACTGGGTGGTTTCTGCTGGGTTGAGTGCACTCGACCGAAGGAAGTGCCGAGTATCTATACTAACCAAGTATCAAGGTTCTAGGATCACCGGACAAACCGTCGGATTTGTCTGCGAGGCGTCTTGGAGGAAATTCGGGATCGCTGAGAGTTGCGTGATTGCGATCACGCTAGAGACGTGAGATCGTTCGGTAGGTGCGGAAAAGAAGGAGAGATCTCTGTGCGACGTTGTCGTGGCGTTTTTAATGGGAAACGAAGGCATTATAAAGCCATTAACCGTTGGACTGCTCCACGGTTGTTGCGTGCGAACGCGCGCATCGGCGCTCTTTATTTGAATACACAAAACATTAACGACTTTGCTGCTCGGTCGCTCGCTCACCCTCTCGCAAAGTGCGAGTTTCCATCGCCGGGGACCAGCGCCTCGCTGTCGAACGTTCTCCATCGAGCGCTTTCCCCGTACTGTATCGTACCTCGAGCTCCGTCCTTTCTTTTTCTTCGTTTACCTTTCGTTTGCGCGAGCCACCGCACTCGCTCGCTGTACCGGTAATAACAACCTGTTCGAACGGGTTCGAGACGAGCGGTCGAACTTGGCGAATCCGTCGAATCATTTAATTATACTCGTGGAAACGAGGAAAACGATGCGAAGAAGGAGTGATTCGAGGGAAACAAGAGAAACGAGACTGAACGAGGGAGAACGGTGCAAACTAGAGATGGGATCGAGCGTCTCGCAAGTAAGTTTCCAACTTTTACTCGTTGGATTCGAACACTGTGGTAGTTTCTTCAAACGCGAGTAAATTCAACACCGAGATATTTCTCGATTTTTTTCTTTAGAAGCACTTTTCCTCTTTTCGACGTTAATACGTCTTTTTTTCTATATACGAGCAGTATGAATTTCTGTTTGAATTTTCTGACAAAGATATATTAGACGTTATATTAGCTCGTATTTTGTTATCATAAATTCGTTTGATAATGAGTGTTTCATAATTGCCCGCGTTGCATGGGAATTCAATTGTATTTTCAGTGGTATATTCGATTTATATATAATAATTTCGAATGTTTCACGAGCAATTTGGGGAGCGAATAATTTTTGGTGGATGAAAGAAGTTTTTCTTTACAAACGTGCAATCAAATTTTTGACTGGACAATGCATGTGACGCGATTTCCAAATATATTTTCAAGAATATTCGCAACAGAATTTTCATTTCAACGTCTGTTACAGATATACGTACATAAACACTTGCAATGCAGTCTTCAGCGTTGTCGAACGAAGGCTATCGATATTGATTTTTGCCAAAGTGAACTGGACTTTTGAAACAAAAAATAACTCTTCCTTTTCGATGTTGCAGTGGAAACCCATGAAAATTTAAACGCTAGTTTCATCAACTATTAAACTATTATATTATAAACGCAAAAAGCATTCCAAATATCCACTGTTCAAATATTCTATTTCCTGATTAGTCTATACAGAGAATGTGGACAGTTTCAGATAAATAGTCTTTTAAATAAAACGAAGGAACCGTATAGACCAAAGAGTATTAAAATTGTTGAAAATTATGAGCGATCTCGATTCAATGACCATAAGGGCCTGACGTATTGGACCTGATCCCATCCCTAATATAGACGATGATAGCAGTCGCGTATTTTGCTCTTTTTCTCTTTTTTTTTTTTTTCTTTGCTCTGTTCATTCGCATTCTTGTTCTTGCTCTCGTTTTTGTCCTTCCTCCCCTGGCTCACGAGAGCCGACGCGGCCGGAACGCCTACTTCCTGACCGATCGTTGGGACACTTCGTTCCGCGCGGCGTTTCACAGTCGAGAGCCGGTGAAAAACGGCGCGTAGGCCGCGTGTGCCGAGGACGAGGGACCAGAAGAAAAGGCGAAAGCGCGTGCGTGGACGATGGCGGTGGTGAAACCGAGCGAGAGAAGGAAACCAGGCTCGCCTAATTTGCTCGGTAATGTCCCGCCGGGAATTAACGAGCGGCACTGGCGCAAGGGGAGGGAGAGAGGGAGAGAGAGAGAGAGAGAAGGGGTGCAGCCGGTAGCACCTAGCCGACATTAATTATGTCCGCTGCCACAGGTGCCAACAACTCGATTATCAGATCTCGATCGGATCCCGATCGCTCGTTTAGATTAGCCGCTGCGCGCCGCGGACCGTCTCTTTTTCTCCGCCTCTTCTTTTCCTCGCCTTTTCCACGCTTTTTCCACGACACCGTTCCACCGTTGACGCGTTTCAACGTAATCCACCGGTTCTAGATTTCCAGAAAGGGAGAGTGAAAGAGAGACGACACGCGTTCGATGGAACGCGGCTTTCGTTCGAGGGTGGGTGGGGAGGGGGGGGGGAGGGTGGAAAAAGTGGAATTGCGGAGGGAGAATCGGAGGGAGGGGGTGGAAGCGATCGTTAGATTCCGTTTCCGTCTAAAAATTGCCGCGGGTCGAGGGTTGGCGGTGGTGTCGGCGGCGGTGGTGGTGGGCGGTAGGGGTAAAAAAGGGCTTGCCACGAAATAAAATGGCGGTGGCGAGGATGGCACCGGTATCGATTGGCTCTCTCGCGAAAACGCGGCGGCCGCGGTGGGTGCTAGATGTCTCTATTTTACGCGCGTGCGGACACACGTGTGTACACGTGCAGCGAACGAAACCCGTATTGAGGCCCGATATTGTTTAAATGTACGAACGAAGTCTCAGCCGCGCTGCAAAAGTCGTCCACCTGCAACATTCCGGAGAGAAAACCGCGAGCCAAAAGACGATAGGCGTACGTTCCAATCCTCTGCAACTTGATAATAGTTCGTTGCGAGAAACATGAAAATTGGAATTCTCTGTAACCAGAATTTTGTTTTGCTCGTAGAAAGGAATTTCCATGTGTTGTCTTCTCTACTGTTAGATCGTATTGCAGTGTAAATTCGAAGGAATTTTAGTAAAATGGCAGACAGGCTGAGCACAATGGCTAAAGATATTGCTTCTTGGAAAATAAATTGCTGTCAATTAACGTGTCGTACACGGGTACTGGACACGTTTATATCGACACGATATGGACCCTTCCTGACGCGAACGCAACATTTGAAATATATACAGGAAAACACGCGTCGTCGAAACGTTTTATTTATTTAAAATCACACCGTGTGATACTTGTGATCAGTGCCAACCAGTAAAATCTCTCGATCACATCGATCTTTAATATTTGACAATCCTTCACCTGTCATCTATATACGCGAATCTTTCATTCTTTAATCCCTTGCGTTGGCTGATTAAACTGATTCGCGGACCATAACGAGTGACCGAGCCGTATACAACAATTCGCCGCTCTCTTTCGAACACGTCGGTACGATATCGCTGGATAGAAATGATTAAGAATTAACAAACATATCGTTCGTTTTGCCCGGGTTACGTTTACGTATAGCAACTGCAACTGAGAAAATATTGCAATTTGGGGCGGAAATGTGGCACGTCGTTCCAGCGCAAGAGGTTAATACACATTTTACGTGCCAGACGTGGCTACGCGGTAAATTTTAGTACAATCGCGATCTCCAATAGGTAATGTGACCCGCGCGATTGCACATAGGTGCGAACCACAGGTCGTCGTTTCGCGTGGACGGCCCTCGGAACAGAGCGGTAGCTGCGGCGGTTGGGCAGCATCCGGTGCCTCCGAATTGGCCGCTGGTCGCCGGTGTGCTGCGCAACGCGCTCCGCCAAGCGCCTATTAATTGATTGAATTAATTTGCCAATGCGCTGCCAACGACCGTGTCGGGGATACCGAGGCCTGTGGGGTGTATCCGCCGTTCCCGACCAAAGTCCCCGTCGGCCGTTCTCTTTCGATCGTCCGCGCAAATTTTCCCCCAGTCAGTTCCCGCGGAAATTCAATCTTGCAGCCCGTTCCCGCTCTCTTCGACTTGACGTCGTAGGCTGACACTGAATCTTTGATTTTTCACGCTCTCTCGTTGAAGGAGGAGAAGGAGATGATGGCCAAGTCTCTCCGCTGGCGAGATTAGCCAGCCGTCGCGCGGTAGGTCGTGCACGCGAGTCAACGAGAGAGAATAGAAGTCTAGCCCCTGTCGGAGAG